CGGTCAGTACTTCACGCCGGGTACAAACTCCTTGGCGTCTGGATTCAAGTTGCTTTTGCTCTGGAAGAGAAGAGGGGAGAGGGGGGAGACCCCCATCAGCCATCCAAAAGCATCGCTGCCCGGACCTGCACCCCGAGGGACCCTTCCCGAGGACGCTGCCACAGATGCTCGCAGATATTCAGAGCACTCGAGATGCTGCCAACCAAGCACCAGCTCAAAAGCAGCGACCCCCAGGCTGGGCTTTGTTTTGGGGGCAGAATCAGCTGTGTCTGTCTCTCCCTGCTCTGTCTTGGGCACTGCTGCTCTCCCAGCCACCCAGCAGGTTTTCACCACTTGAAATATTGAATCTACGGAGGCTCAGGGCACTCAGCACCCCAGCCTGCCAGGACACCCCAAAAAAAAAGGGAAGAAAGGTCCCAGCTTGCTCCAGGAGCGGAGCCCAGCTGACGTGCGAGCTGCAGCCCTGTTTCCATGGCTTCTGGAGGGAGAGAAAACTCCCAAACTCATCACCGCCAGCTCTCGCATCGACATCCCACCGCCACGCAGGAAAACCCCCCAAGGAAACGCACCCCCGGTCCCAGGAGGGGTCCCCTGCTCTTGGCCGGACGTCCCCGAGCTCCTTACCAGGATGTCCTCGGAAGCGTGGCCGTCGCCGCCGACCGAGAGCCCGTGGAGCTGCTGCTGCAGCTGCGCCATGCCCTGGGGCAGGTCGCGTGAAGGGATGAACCACTCCTGGTCCTCCTCCTCCAGCATCTCCTGGAAGCAGCGGTCGAGGAACTCCTGCTCCTGCAGCTCCTCCTCCACCTGCCCCAAGAGACGCGTTCGTCACAGCCAAAAAACGACCCAGCTTCAGGTTTTCTGTCCCCACCTGGTAAAAATCTGCACCGTGCCCACCCCCCCCAATTTCTCGGGAACGCTCTAGCAGAACCAGATTATTTTCAACCAGGATGAACGCAGCTTTCCCAGCTTCCCTGGAGCCAAGCCCAGGAAGCGCAAGAGCACAAAACCGGCACTTTTTGGGCAAAGCCGTGCTCAGGCATCGCTTCCCGGATGCTGTCGACCGCCGGCATGGGGAGATGCAGCCTGTGAGCCCCCAGCATCAGGCAACTCCAGCAGGACCGACAGGACATCCAGCCGGACGCAGGGTCTCAGGCTGCCGGGCTGCGGCAGAGCTTGCTGCAAGACGAGCAGGATGGATGATAAAACCGCGGCGATGGAGGCACGCACTGTGCGGATCCTCTGCTACGGAGCGATGCTGCAGCCCCAAATTTTGCTTTCTTGCTTCCTGCATTCCTCCGGTTCGCTAAACCAGCTCTGCTCAGCCCCCTGGGCTCTGCAGGCACCCACGCAGAGCGGCGTTCGGCTCCCATCGATGACGCTGTCTCTGCTGCTGGAAAATTCCTCCCGAGGACGGGGAACGCCACGGGACCTGGGTCAGGCTCCGGGCACAGGCAAAGCCAGGCAGGAGAGGGGGCCAGGGGTCTCGTCCTTACCCTGGAGCAGGCGTGTACCATTGGTGGGTGACATCAACCGGCTGCTCCCATCGTCCTGGGGGGTTTTCTCTGGCTGCTGACTCCAGCAATGCGCAGACGGGGCGATGGTCAGCAAACAGCACGGGTCGGAGCGGCTGTGACTGAGTCCAAGAGTCATGAACCACAGAATGCACTGAAAAGCTGAAACCCTTCCCCTCCTCCAGAAGAAAGTAGAAACTACAACTGAAACCGGCTTCCCAGGGGGGAAAGGGGAGCTGCCCCGTCCCGCAGCCCCCGAGCTGGGGATTGTCGGAAATCACACCCAGCGAAGCTCCTCGCGCGGGCTGGGCAAAGCCCTCGCACAGTGACCCAGCCTCGGGCACTGTCTCCAGCCCCAGCTCCTGGAAGTGGGGTCTGGCCAGGGGCAAATCCCCTTCGCAGCCAGCAAACCACCCCATCGCTATCCTCAGCTGCGCTTCCAGGGGCTGTCCTTGAAACCACACGCTGGCTGTGAGCCGGGGACACGGTGACAACATCAGTCCTGGACCAGGGGACAGGGAGGGAGAGATCCTGGACGCACTCACGCCTGCACCACCACCTCTTACGCTGCATCGTGAGCACCTGAACCAGGAGAGAAAGGGCTCAGTGTTCGCTCAGGGCTCTTCTTTGGCTTCTCGGGGGATTTCCTGCAGTGCTGTCACCTCCCCGGGCCCTTCTGCACCCACCTCACCTGCTGGCAGCATCACAAGAGCCCACCACTCCCTTTCTGCCCTCCGGGACGTGCTGGCTCTGTGGGAAAGGGAACGTCGCTGGCATAAATCAGGGAGGACGGTGCCAAGAGCCCGTGGGTTTGTACAAACACCGGCCTGTTCCCCCTGCTCTGCGCCCGGGTGGCAGAAACCCTCGGGGGGCGGGGGCGAGGACACCGCGGGGCTGAGGAAGGAGAGTGGGAGAGAAGGGGGGTGTGGAGGAAGGTACAGCCACCGGGGTGTGCACGGGGCGGCAGCAGCAGCCACCACTGCCACCGAAAGGGACACACCTGCTGTCCCCTGTGTCCCCATCACCAGTGTCTCGTCCTCTCCCGGGGACACTCAGGAGCAACGCAGACCAGGGAGCGGAGCTGGATGAGAGGCACGAGCCGCAGCATCCCGAGCGAGCCCCACGAGCACCGATGCCAGCCCCAGGAATTCCAGGAGCGCTGCCTCCCGAGGGATGAAGGTCCTGGCGCAGGACGGCTCTCCCCACCCGGTGGGCATCCTACCAGCAGACAGACGGACTTCAGAGTCCTTAAAGAGCGACTCCAGCTCCCGTACGAACCATTCTTCAGAAGGGCGAAGGGCTGAGCTCCCAGGGCATCGCCAAGGAGCTGACATGCAGGAGCGAGGGCTGGTGGCCCCGGAAAGCACCGGCGAGCATCCCGGTGACACAGCACCCACCGCGGGCAAGCCTGGAGGTCTTGGCTCCGTTTTCCTGCCTCCTCCATCTCCCTCCGCCCCGGGCTGGGCCACTCCCTCTGGCACGGAGCTGCGGTTGGGTTTGCTTTGCACTCTACCTTCATCAGGCTTTTAATCAAGACAAACATTCCCTAATGAATCCAGCACCTTGCCATCAGCACAGCTGCTCTGGGGGCCGGCTGCTGCCTCATCACGTTGTTAAATGAAACAAAAGCTTCGAGTCACAGCCCAGGAGCGACGGCGAAGGTGACGTGGGGCAGCGCAGGGCTGCACACTCACCAGAGTCACCGTCAGCTTCCTGCTGTGGGAACAAGAGCTGAGCGTTGCCATATGGAGATTTTCTGCTGACACCACCGCTCACGCTGACGAAATCCTCCTTTGGTGACCCGGGGTGTGGTGGGGATATGAAATCCCTCTGCCCAGCCTGCCTGCAGCTCCGGCCGTCCCTCCCTGCCGCTCTCCCGACATCCCGGTGATGGGAATGCAGTGCTTGGCCACGCTCGTGGGGACCTTTTAGGGAGGGGACAAGTGTCCAGGAGACTTCAGGTTTCCTGCCAGCAGCACAGCTCAGCCAGCCAAAGGGACGAGCTCCTTCCTCGCCCAGTTCGAGGTGTCTGACCTCTCTCCAGGTACTGGGATGATGGCAGGAGGGACCAGCGAGCCCATCCCCCGGCACTGGGATGAAGACCCAAAGCAGCAGCACGAGGAGGACGCTCCGTGGCTGCTCCCTCTGCTCCAGCTCACAGAGTCACATCGTTTTTCCACGAGCAAGAGCTGTTGGAGTCCCACCACGGTGCCCCAGAAGCTCTGGAGAGCTTTGGTGGCTGTTAGGGACACAGCACCTCGTGCTCTGGCTGCTCCAAGAGCACTCAGGACCAAGACGGAGATTCTGAACCGAGAGGTGCCGGCTGCAGGAGCTCACTGCGGAGCCAGCCCGGCTGCAAATGCTCCCAACTTTCGGGCGCTCTTTGTTACGCTCATCCCCTCCATCCAGCTGAGCTTGCAGAAAGCCAAGGTCTCTGTTATCACAACAAAGCGCAGATGACAGTGCCGTCACTGTCCCCGCAGAGAACGATCCGAGAGGCTCAAAGGCATCGTGAGGCTGGGTCTTTTCCGGACTTTTTCCACCCTGTGTCCTTACAGGCGGATCCAACACAAACAGGATGACTCTTCCCTTGCGCCACTGTCTCTGTGCAGAGCCCGCGCCGGCTGTGACTCAGCTTCATGGAAAACTTCTCCCTCGCCTCAATTTTAGGCGCAGAAACGCGGAGCTGGCCGCCGCCCCCCCGGCTCACCTGCCTGTTGAAGTCTTCCTCGTTCTCCATCCACATGTACTCGGCGAAGGGGTTGGTCTCCTTCTCATTGTGGCCGTTCACCACTTGGTCCTCTTTGGATTTGGGACTGGTCGCCGGCGTGCTGGCAAGGTCGGACCCATTCATCATTACGGACTCTGGGACGAAAAACACGGGGGTGAGCGAGCTGCTGGGGACCCCCTGAGCCCCCCAGCCCACGCCAGCACCAGAACCTGCTGCTTCCCGGCTGCTTTGTTCCAGGCACGGCGCTATTCCCGACTCGCTGGAAGCAGCCCTACAGCTCCCTGGCAATGCCAGTGTTTATTTTCCAGGGTTTTGACCCATCAGGGACAGTCTGAACGAACCTGCTCTGGCCTTAGAGCACGGGGTGACCTCCTGGAGAGGCTGTGAGCAGGGTTTGGAAAGGCACCGGCAACCCAAACCCCCTCCATCCATCAGATTTATTTTAAATCTGTCACAAAAAATACACCAGAAAGACCACCACCAGGTTATCGCGCACAATAACGCGGCAGAAGCAGATCGTCCCTGCCCCAAAATTCTGATCTTTGGGGCAGAACAGACACATGCCACTCTGTGTCCCTTCACCTCTGCTGTCATTTATTTATTTTTAGAGGATGCTTTGCAAAAGCCCATCGCTTTGCGACACGCAGGCTGCTTTTATCTCAAGCAGAAAAAATTCAGAGTCCCAGTGGCTTGAGGCAAGACAAACCCTGTGGACCCCAACCCTCCATTTCTGGTGGGCTTTACTCTTGCCTAGTAAAGGCTCTAACTGGAGCTGAGCTGTGTCCAGCACAGTGCTGGGGCACTGCAGAGCATCCCGCATGAGCAGGGGCTGGAAAACACAACGACTGAGCGGAGATATTGGGAAGAAATGTTTCCCTGTGCAGGGGGTGAGGCAGTGGCCCAGGTTGGCCAGAGAAGCTGTGGATGCCCCATCCCTGGAGGGGTTCAAGGCCAGGCTGGATGAGGCTTTGGGCAACCTGGGCTGGTGGGAGGTGTCCCTGCCCATGGCAGGGGGTGGGACTGGGTGGGCTGGAAGGTCCCTCCCAGCTGAAATATTCTGTGCCAAGCCCTTTAGGAGGTTGCAGAAAAATCAATCTTAGTGGATACCGAGGTGGGTTTCGGTTTTGCAGTGGGAGAAGCTGGATATGGAGGGGGATGAGGTCCGGGAGAGCACTGGTGATGATGGGAACCAACACCCTTTGCAGGGGGACAAGGCTCTCCCCTAAAGCTTCAAGGAATGGTTAGTGAAGGGGCCCCAGGGGTGGTCTGGGTACCCCTAATCCTGCTTTAGGAACACAAACTCAGACGACCAGAGTCTCCAGGAGCCCCTATGAGGTTGGGGGAACAAGATCCCCGCGGCAGCCTGGGCTTTTGTGTCTCCATCTCGGTCACAGCGGCCATCGGATCCGCATCCCAGCCGCCGCTCCAACTGCCTGGGAGCGGGATCTCACGATATTTGTGAATGCAGCCTGCTCTAGGGGCTGATATTCTCATTTTTGGGAGGAATCCGAAGCACAGACAAGAACACAAGAGGGGTCACCCGTTACTCCCTGAAGAGCATCCCCATCAATCCCAAAGGTGCTCAGCCCTCGCAGACAGACGCTCCTGGGTAGCCAGGAGCAGCACAGCTTCACCGCGGCCGCTCCTGAGCAAAGAAAAAAGGGGAAAAAAGCAGAAAAGAAGAGCAGGAAAGTCCTCAGGCTGCCTGCAGCCTCAGGGGACAGCACCAGCCCACACTGAAGCCACCGTTGTTATCTGCAGAGATGGAAAAAAGGCTCCGAATGGAGCACGGAAAGGGAAACCCTGCCGAAAGCAGCGAGACTGACAGCCCGCGCCCGGCCAGCGCCGGGCTGGGAGGGGAGCGCTCCCTTCGTCCTCCCCACTTCCCCCGCCGCCAGCCCAGACGTTTGCACAGGCAGAGCCCTCAGCTCAAGGACAGGCGGGG